GCAGCTCCTTTAATTGTTTGTTATTGTTATCACGATTATTCTTTAAAATAAAGTTATATAGTCATTAACGTTATTGAAACTGACAGCTGCTATACAGCTCGTTGAGAAATGAGGTTAAGTTGGTCGCTATAAGCTACTCCCTACGTCCAATGTGTCAGAGCCAACTTCGACCACGTTTTTATTTGAACGCTCGTTATAAGCACTTTTTTTCAGTTTGGATTATACGCTAATCCGATATTGAATGGAAACTGGCCTCAGGTGGTAGTAGATCGAGTAAAGTATCGCAGTGAAAATGGGAATTACTCAAAATCGCGCCTTCCCGAGTTCACCGAAGAGGAAATCGCATATATCAACGGCACCTTTGATTTTATCGGTCTCAACACATACTATACTTTACTCGTTGCCGATGCCGCTGAGGGTGATTTTGCCAACACAAGTTCTGAAGACGACATCAGGGCCACCGCATCTACAGATCCTTCGTGGCCTGTAGCACCAAATGGAAATACGGTAATATTATACGAGGCGAGCTAGAAACATTGAAACAAAACATTATTATTTTTTTGTTGACTATTTTCCATTAGTTAGATACATCCTGACACCCTTGAATTTATAAAACAAAATTTCCCAAACAAAAATTTCGCAAAAAATTTATTTATGCAAATTTTGTGCAGTAAACTCGGAGGAAGAGAGGTAGGTATGTTATGATTATTTCCCAAATCAATTTTTTTTCTTTTATTGTTTGAATAACAATTACACAGCCTAAAGCATTTATTTGAAAGGCAACATTTAATTTTTCTTGTTAGAATTGGCTATTTATAGATGAACTTTCAGTTATGGTTAAAGATTGAATCAATGGACAAGGTATAATTTTGTATACTATTTTCCTTTTTCTCCTATAACATTAGATATTTAGTTGCTGAAGTTGACGCTGGAGCAACTACTGGAGTACTGGAGTACTGGAGCAGTACTTTCTGGTTCTACTATAAAATTTATTAACATTATTATGAATGGTTCTTATTTTTTCAATAATATTTGAGTAGTAGTCTGACTTTAATTGTAAGTATGATTCAATGGAACCTGCGGTATAAGTCCTGTAATTCTTAATAGTTATTATCTTCAAAACCTCGTTACTAAACGTTTTTTTAGAGTTATTGCTCTATAAGAATGATTAGCTATTTTAGTTTTCGTAGAAATTAATCCACCTTTTTTTATTTTTAAACTAAACCATATCGCTGTTTTTTTTTTTCAGAATCGGTTAGGCGTTTGAAAAAATATTTTTATAGTTATATTACTTGTTTCTCAAGAAATTAATTTTCGATAAAGCCTTACAGAAGATATACCTTCCTCGGCTTTGTTTTGCACAAGCCATTTACTATCTGTTATTTTTTTCAGAAAATATCAAAACCCTTTCAGAACCAGTGAATATTTTGCTAATTCAATAAGTTCATTTGATTTCCAAGTGAGAACAATTCTCAATAGAAAAAAAATATCTCCAAAAATATCTCCTTCATTTTATTGAAAAAGCAAATCACCTTTGAGTTATTTTTTTAATCTAAAATAACCTTACTACACAGTTCAAAAAATATAAAATAATTATAAAATTGTACGTTTCACAAAAAACATTTATGGAAATGTTTTGTTACAAATATTATTATTTTTATTATTATTATTATTATTATTATTATTATTATTATTATTATTATTTTATATGTAANTAGCCTGTTGATGGACAATATTCAGTCGATTGCCAAGAACCAATTTACGACTAACCATTCTGTTTCCCACCGAAGAAGCAGCCCCTCAATGGCCCCACTGATGTAAGTACTTATTTTATATAATAAAAGTTAAAATTAATTGAATTGCCTCTCTATTTCCTACCATCCTAGCAGTCAAGCGAGTAGCGCCAAGAAGCAGTAACTTCTGTTACTAATTATTTTCCACATTTTAAAGCCCAACTGGACATATCCGTTTACAAATTCTATAGAAATTGTTTTAGGATACTGATGAATACGTACAAAAATTATTATATATTTTAATTTTATTTAAACGATTGTACATTAATTAAAGTGTTATAGCAGCAAAAAATATGAATATGAAGAAAATAATAAATCTTGAAAAAACAAACAATATCAATTCTGGCCTATAAACGAATTTAGAATACAATAATAATAATGATTACAAGCCATGTGGCCCGTATTTATGTGTGGAACAGTAATTTTATTTCCTTCATGTTGGCCATTCAATTTCGGAAAAATATAAAATTATCAAAACAGGAAGATCAAAATTACATTAAAACACAACATCCTGTTTAACCGGCTGTGAAGATTATGTTCAACCAATCATTATCTCGAGCGCAGACGTAACGTTTTGTCATTGTTCATTGTAAACAAGTCATTAATATTGGTGACACTAAGATTTAGAAATTTTGCGTTAACAGTACCAGCTCTCCAATGTTGGTTGCCTAAGCTCGGCGGTCACGTAGCTTGTAAACATTTATGAAGGCTATACACATATAGCATTAAAAGTAATAATAGTATGTATTTAATGTTGCCTAACTAATATTAAAACATTTTTCAATCTTAGGTTGTACCTTGGGGAGCTAGAAAATATTTAAAGTGGGTAAAAGATACATACAATAACCCTGATATTTTAATCACGGAAAATGGCGTCGCTGATGATGGCAGTACTTTGGAAGACGACGACAGGATCAGCTTTTATCAGGTACGATTTTTCTATTAGAAAGTGCCAGATACTTAAAACTAATACCTAAAAATGTTGTGCGTTTAGGTACACACAAACTAATTAATAAAGGAGATGTTAAATGAAAAATATAATTGACACGTCATAAAAGAATGTTTGAAGTAACATTTTCTCGACATTCTCATTTCATACTTATAGTCAAATTTTTATTGGGACACTCTGTATTTTACCTTGAACGTATAAAATAATAAGTAATAATCAAAGGTTCTTTAATTACTATTATCGACAGGACTATCTTAAAGCAATACTTGATGCAATGTATGAAGACGAAGTAAAAGTATTTGGATATACTGCATGGAGCTTGTTGGATAATTTCGAATGGACAAAAGGATACAGGTAGGTAACAATTTTTCTCTAGGAACTAGGAATGTAAATACAAGAAAAAATTAAGGAGACGTAATATGAAGGCAATTTTTCTAAAAAAGATATAAACGGATTGTATTAACATATCGCAATACCGGAGTCGGAATTGTATAAGTAGTGACATCTATTAAAGAAAAGACAAACGACAAAAACAAAGATGACCACCGGTCACTGAATTACAAGTGGAAGTGGATCTTATTTGTGGAAGGGCAAAACGGGCGGTGACTATGAGACGCCTTCATTATAGCCATCCTTCTCTATCGCACGGATTTCTATGACTTACTTTATCGCTCTCACGTAACGGCCGATGTACCATGGCGACTTTCCGAACCTGTATATCAAACTGTTTAAGAATTGTTATAAATAAATAGGCTATTCACTTTGTGGTCGCAACACTTGTAACTTATAAAAACTTGCATTGTGTGAGCTGTCAAAAACACATTTGAAGTTGATGAATCTGTAATAATTCAATATTAGTAAACAGAAAAAAAATGGTACGTAGTCTACGAAACAAAAAAGTTTGGGGACCTCTGGTCTAGTAGGTACATAACAAATAATGGATCAATGATTATTTCAAATTAAATTATAACTTAACAGTGTAGCGAATAAAAGTTTATTGTCTTCTTATAAGCTGAGAGGGTATTTTGCCGCTTATTATGTAAAAGTAGAAATATAATGATTACATTTTTAGTATTTGTAAAAAGTCTACTTAAAATATATCAATATTTCATATCTTTGTTGTTGATTCCGTGACTAATATGAATAATTGTGTAACTTAATACTCAGAATGATCATATAAACAGTTTTCACCTAAGAAACATATTTCGAACAGCTAACCTGGCGATATATCAGCGCAGTGTGCTGAATCCATCTCTGTTATTTGCGTTATGTACGATTTACTCTCGGGCCTTAGTTACTATTGAGCTAAAACTTTATAGGAAATTGCATCATTATTTTTATGAACAGGATCAGTCCTTACTTTCTTGCTTATAGTTTCCAATGAACCTATATACCAACGGACTAGTGTGTATATTTTAATTAAAAAGTACTTTCAGAAGATGCGTTATTTATTTATTTTATATTCTGACTTGATATGAAAACAAAATCTAACATATGCAATATCCGAGCCACTGAAATTAAAATCTAAAATAATATCAACTTAGAATCCACAAAGTGCAAAACATCGAATTAACATCCTGAATCATTTCAGTGCGCATTTTGGACTTTACCATGTAAACTTTACCGATCCGGACAGGAAAAGGACTGCAAAGAAGTCGGCAAGCTACTACAAATTTGTAGCTACCACCCATGAACTACCAGAAATTACAACTACAAACGTTTCTCCAGAATCTACCACTCACCATGGTTCCGCTAATAAAGTATTCAGTTCTAATGTCTTAGTAGTAGTTCTGAGTTTTATATATATGTGGTTCAAGTTAATGTAAATATTTCGGAGTCACTTCGAATACTTGTACTCTTTGATCAGCATTCCGATACGCATTAAAAGCACCACTATACCTATTGTTATTTATTTATTTATATTATATTTGATTCTATTATTGTTATATTTTTTGCCAGGGAGTTAGAAATATTTATATTTGCATGTTTTAAGTGCTTAACCCAAAGAGATAATTTGTTTTCACTAAAATTACATAAATTTATAATAATGTGTTGTACATATATTATGTTAGTAGAAATGTTTAAAGATTCATTTAACTATTATTAATTACAATTTATACGTTTTTATAAAAAATATATTAAAGCCAAAATTTTATTTAAAAATTTTTAATAACTAAAAAATAACAATTTTAATAACTATATACGCTTTTCTATTAATTAGAATAATGTCAAAAATAGCCTATTTTGTTTAAACATTATTTATTTATTATATTTTTAAGAATGTGAATATTTGTTTTATTACTGGAATTATGTACCAAAATTTCAATATCTTTNCACTTGTACCTAAATCAGAGTAAATGTCCTCATTACTGAGTGAGTTTAAATGTCTATTAATTTCGAGTAATTTGAATGGCGCCGTGAAGATGGCACCACTTACTTATTGCTTCTGTAATCTCGACCACAGTTGATAGGGGCCCGTTAGATGCTCCAGAAAAGCGTGATCGCCAGGAGAACAGGCCTTAACCGGCGGCGGTGGGTCTCAGCTGGCGGGTCTCAGCCAGGACAGGAGGAGGCCACGCGAAGTGAATTAATTTCTGTATATCCTACCTAATTAATCATTTATGAGTGATTTATTTTTATTTAGTTAATTAAAAACCAAGTCTGAGTGAAAAATGACTAGCTAAATTTAAAACATATTGGAGGAGAAATCAACTCTAAGTTGGTTTTATATACTCAGAATAGAGCCAAAAGTCGCTCAATTGATAGTTAGCAGTAACTTGGATTTAAGTAAAGCTCACTCATTTCTGATGTTCACTCAATTGTACTCATACTAAAGAGTGAAAATTTCACTCAATTGGGTGTGGACAGACATTGATACATTATTGAGTGAAATTTTTTTACAGTGTATAATGTAGGTTATAGTATTTAAAATATTTTGTTCTATGTGGTCTAATTTATGAAAATATTTAATAATGAATCGTTACCAGTCTTTCATAAAATAAAGAAAAAATACGCTAGTGATAAATTTTCCATTTCTAAAATGTCATCGTATCTAATTTGAAACAAACTGAATTATAAATATCGCTCTCTATTATAAAGCGAATAGTATAAAATGAATAGTAAAACCAGTTACCTAAGTGTTTTTTATAAGTCACATAATTTAGATTTAGTTATTTTATTGCTTATTGTTCCATTTTGCTGATTCATTAATAATTTTATATTATTATTTAATTTCACTTTTTTCAATATTTAAATATAAATTGTAGGTAAATTAGTTTACCTTATCTATACTAATATTATAAAGAGGAAAGATTTGTATTTTTGTATGTATGTTTGTTACGAATAAACTCAAAAACTACTGGACGGATTTCGATAATTCTTTCACCATTAGAATGCTACATTATCCCTGAGTAACATTTTACATACATTTTTTATATCCCAAAATGTTTAAAATAAATGTTCACCCGTGCGAAGCCCGTTCGGGCCGCTAGTAATAACATAACCACAAAGTTATTTACTCAGCTGACAAATACTTATTATTTGAGTACTTTCACTCAAATATAGGTACTCCTTAAATAAATTCTTTTCGTAAACTCGTATTTGGTGCACTTGTACCTAAATCAGAGTAAATGTTCCCATTACTGAGTAAGTTTAAATGTATGTATAATAGTTTCGAGTAATTTGAAAGGGCGCCATGAAGATAGCACCACTTACATATTGCTTCTGTAATCTCGCCCATAGTTGATAGGGGCCCGATAGATGCTCCAGAAAAGCGTGATCGCTAGGTGAACAGGCCTTAACCGGCGGCGGTGGGTCTCAGCTGACGGGTCTCAGCCAGGACAGGAGGAGGCCCCGCGAAGTAAATTAATTTCAACACTGTATATCCTAATTAATCATTTATGAGTGATTTATTTTTGCACTCGATATTTACTTAATTAAAAACCACAACCAAACTCCTTCTTGAATGATATCCAGTTGCGAGGCTACTTCGCTTACATGAAATTATCTTTAATGCGCATGCTCAGTAACATTGATACAATTTTAATTTATTAATTACTATAAAAGTCAATAAATTTAAATACACAGATTCTACATGACAAAGAAGCCATTTTTTTGGCACTTGTGTCCAATGTACATAAGGTTGAAAATCGATCTAGTTAAAGTATTGAGAAATTCTTCATGACAATGTGCACTGTGGGGTTGCCTATTATTTGGTGTATGTGACGTCACTACTAAAAAGGTCCATAGGAAATGTATAGGAAATTTAACGAGAGGTTAGTGTTCCGGTATTAAACAATATTTAGATACAAAATAAGTTTTTATTTCATAAAATTTTAAATATTTAAATTATTAATGGGTACTCTAGAGGTAGGAAATAAATTGCGATATTCGGTAATATTCAAGGAAAAGTCGATACAAGGTGGTACAAAAGAGTTTTATTGTACATTCAGGTAGGTGAATATTTTCCAATGACTTGGATTCAAAATGGCGGTTGTAGGTGATCCATCAAGCAACGACACCTTTTTTTCAGAGGGCTGTAGGGCCGGAAAGTTTTTTTATTAACGGATGAAACGATCGACATGTAAGTTTATCACCGGCAATATAAATCGCCGAATTTAAGCAACTTGTTCCAATATCGCATTGCTTTAGTGTGCGGGACAACATCTGATCTTTAGTGTATTGTGAATGGGTGACAATATCATGTATTGCTAGTTGTTGCTTATTGCCCGTTGCTCCAGTGTGCGACCACGCTTAGTGAACATTTAAAAGAAAAGTATCGAAAAAAGACGAAACATTTTGGATTAAATTGTTAATAACTGAAAATTGTTAATCAATTGAAAAATCCCTACTATGTTCCCTGAGTTATGTTATTGTGAAGCTCTGTACAAAATTTCAAGTAGATTTGTTGAAAACTTTTTGAGTTATGTGATCTGCCAGTTAAAAAAAAATGGTTTCTTGAAAAACGCTTTTAAAGTTTTTCTTGCATTCAATCAGCGTTACTTGCATCATATAATTGGCCTTCTATATTGATATTTTCTTCATCCTCTTCTTTTCGGCTTGATGTAAGCCTCAACTAGGCCTCTAACTATCTAACTAACTATCTCGCAGTTATCATGAGTTACAATAAGCACTCCTGTAGCGCGCTGCGCGTGGTTGCGCTTCACCTCGAAAAAAACTCGTTTTTCCAGATTTTATTCCAGTACCTATACATAGTACTTGCTGCTTTTTTTTTCTTTAAAAAAACGAACATACTGTAAAAACCGGTGAATACTAAACTCGATTTGAGTTTTTGAGAAAATTATAGATTTACAGATACTTTGTACTTGTGAATAAGGCTCATGATTACTTGCGGGAGAAGGCTTGATTTGATAGTAATATGGAGATGACTGAATTTGAAAGTAGTATTGAAATTTATTCTCAAATAACGTGGTTTTACTGTGGATATTTTTACTATGGATTGTTTGTAACTAGGCACTTATAGAAAATAAGACAAATTTTCGTGTTGGCTGGATTTGAAACTAGAGCAATTCTATTATTATACTCTACTCGTAACTAGGTCTAAAGGTACACTTCATAATGTAATTATCTGAGTAAAATATTGCCACTATCGTCCTACTACAAAATTATTGTAATCATGTAAAAAATTGTTAGTCTCATCAAATACTTTTATATTTCAAAATACATATATTCAAACGATAACTAAAAAATACTAAGAAATTAAATTGGCGTGCACAAGAAGATAATTCTTATCAAAATGACTTTATAAGTCACATAATTTAGATTTAGTTATTTTATTGCTTATTGTTCCATTTTGCTGATTCATTAATAATTTTATATTATTATTTAATTTCACTGTAAATATTTATGAGTTTTGAAAAGACCTATAGTTCTAATTCCATATTATACTACTTTTAGTAAAAATCAAATATCAATACTTTTATAAGCAAATTATAATTGTAGAAAAAAATGCGATTGAATTTAGTTTGCTATAAGATAACAATTATTAAAATTACCCTGAGCTTTGTTGGGTCACTTGCGCTATTTATATTTTTATTCGATTTTTTAGATTGTCCAATTGAGTAGTAAGAATACCATCCCTTGAGTAAGATCCTTAATAGTCCCGAAATATTTATTACTCTAAATGGTATTCCGGATAACGAAAATATTGCTGACAATACCAAATTTACTTTTTTCTTTCTCCCCGGTTTGCATTTGACAAACCCTACACCGTACTCTCTAAGAGACAGGAGGAGACCGCCCGTGGAGATGTAATTAGCGTCTTCACAGACGGATCAAAAAGGAAGGAGGGTGCAGGATGTGGAATATACTCTAGATCACTGCACATCCCATATCAGTGGGCAATGGATAGGCATGCTACCGTTGTACAAACGGAGTTAGCAGGCATAACCATGGCCGTTAAGGAAATTGCCCGCAGGCCTACTACGGGCAAAACCATTGCAGCCACTGCCGCTGCTACTCGCGCTGCCCGCTGTCCTGCCCTGAATAATTCCAGGGCAGCGTTTGAAGCAAGTGACTGTTTACATACAGCTACATCGCGCCGCATTATTCTCTAGCAATTATTAATGGAGGACGTAGAAATTGCCGCGGCACTATGTGTTTTGAGTTTGCAAAATTATATTAATGTTTTATAAAGAAATATAATAGAAAAAAAACGTCGACGTCGAAAAAGGCGATGGTGGGTGACAGCGATTCATCGCAACAGAACGTTGTAAGTCTTTTATTTCGTTAATATCCTGAAAATTTACTTAAACATGTTTTTTTTTTGCAGAGGAAGTATGACAAACTTTTTCAATGAACTGACTTGTGAGGAATCCGGAGAATTTTTTAACTTTTGCAGAATGTCACGCAAAGATTTTGATTTTTTGCTAAATAAAATTGAGCCCATGATAAAGAAACAAACTAAAGTAAGAATTCCAATACCACCAAAAATACGTTTGGCAATAACGATATTTGGCTACTGGGGACAGTTACCAAAGTTTGCATTATTTATTTAAAGTTTCAACACCATCAATTTCGTTGATTGTACCTGAAGTTTGCAAAGCAATTAATATTGTTTTAAAGGACCAAATAAAGGTAAGCAATAAACATTTACATTGTATTTAGGTAATCTTTATTTTATTTATTCATTATTTAAATAGTG